TCCTGGCGGACAAGTGCCGGCAGCTCACGGTGCGGGGGCGGCACGACGGGAGCAAGATAGAGTACCACTTCATGATTGAGGTCTTTGGGTGAGGAGGAATCGGGAGATTGGCTTTTGAGGAGGATGGGCATTTCCGAGAGAAATGGGGAAAGATGGATGATGATGGCTTCGATTACGACGATGATACGAGCGATACCAGATAGTCTATAACTCAGCGTCTGGCGTCTGGCGAGATGGCAGTCCACGTTGACAGGCGCTAATGAACCATGGCACACGCAGAGGCGAACTACCAGAAGCACCGTGAAGGTATCATGAGAGCGGACGATGGGGTGATGTGGTCTAGAAACCCAAAGCAACGAACGTCGGAACCTTCCTTACCTAGCAAGACGAGCAGCAGCACGACAGACAGGCAAAAGTAAAAAGACGAAGCGAGCATGACAACCACGTTCGGGACCGCCTCCCGAAAAGCAGAAATGCCCTCCCCATCATGGCCATTCCCTACACCATCATTAGGTTCGGCGTTATGCTCCGACCCGAGCGGCTGGCTGGGTGACGCGGATGAGTACGCATTATGCAGTATGTTCCTTTTTAAGCGTGAAATCTATCCAGAACGGAGCAGCTAGATAAGGTATGAATTTAGAATTCCACGCTATCCTGCGTCAAAAGAGAGAGAGAGGGAAGACGAAAGAAAACCCCGGGACCCCAGCCAGCCATTCTTCGGCCGTCGGAACTCTCGCAATGCGAACTGTTGGCTAGAGGAAAGTGAAAAAGATGCAAGTGGGAGGGATATGGCGTGTTGCGGATGGCTTCCCTTCCCTTCCCTATTGTAAGTTTGTAGTGGGCCAAATCCGACGGAAGAAAATGCAGACAGGGACAAGCCAAGAGATGGCATCAGCCAGTCAGTCAGTTTCTCCTTCTTTTCTTTCTTGCCTACGTAAGTCCTGTTCTGGCGTACGCAACTTCTTTTCATTTTCGGTCCTGTCTCTTGTCATTCAGACTTTTTCCACGCGGGTTCAATGGCATTGTAAAACCCCCATGAACCCTGACGCGGTTGATTGACAAGCGTTTCTGCTTGGGCCTGCTGCGTTCGGGGCCTGCCGGAGGCTGGCCTTACGTATGTGCGTGCCCTGGCTGTTAATTTTTCCGAATTCATGGCAGTTTGGGAAAGAGGAATGGCATTCTTTCTGTCGTACGCAAGCGTTTAATCAACCTGTCGTTGTTCCAAGTTATTTCTGTGCAAGGAGTATTCATGTAGAGTGTGTGCAATATGTGTATGTGCGGCGCAAAGATCAACGACTAGCTGAGACCCGTCTCTCTCTCTCTCTCCCTCGCTCTCACTGTGCCAAAATAAAATGTTCCTGAAATTCTCCGGCGGGCTGAACAAGGGTCCTGGGCCCAGCAGACAGCCAGACAGACAGAAGCATTCTGTGCAGGGCCAAGCAGCGAGGGTAGGGTAGCGCCGCCGCCGCCGCCCGCGACTCGCCTCAACTGACCTTCGCTACCCACTTGACACACGTCTTGTCTTGGTATCGCCTTACAACTCTGCCTGGGGTCTGGTCGGGGGGGAGGGCCGCCCACAACTGCGTGTGTCGAAGCTTGTCATTTTTGAGGCGACACCATGTGCAAGGTCGTCTCGAAGAGTATCGTTAGTAATGGATGCCAAGGGGCGGCCTGAATGGTCGTTCGACCTCTCGACGTCTATCCCCCCCCCCGGACACCGTCTAGGGGGGCCCTGTCGCTGCACGTCGCTGCCGTCGCCAAATATTGCCGTTTGGCGGTTGTTCGTTGGCTCGCTAGCTCGCTAACGGAGTTAGTGCGATTTTTTTCTCTCCTAGAGTGACCCTAAAAAAAGAGAAGGGGATCCCGGAACCTGGGGGGCAGGCCAAGAGGAAACGCTGCGGGGACGTCGATCACGGGCATCAGTATCTGCAGGACATGTCTGGGAAAATACAGTGAAGGGGGGAAAATCTGGCCATTCTTGGCTTTACCGCCGATATGCCTACGGGATGTGATGTCTCGTCGTAAGGGTACGTATGCGCGCTCAGATGCAGCAGCAGCAGCAGCAGCAGCAGCAATGCATCTCGCAGCGGCTACGGGAATCCACTTCATCGTCCTTTTTGCTAGCTGCAACAAGTGCAGTTTCTCCAGCTGCCAGTCAGACAAAAGAATTTGGCCGAAGCGGAAGCGAAAGCCGGTAACTCGTCGTTGGACAGGCATGAGACCTCGAAGGGAGACGACGTATGGCATCGGAAAGAGGGGATGACACAAGCAAACAGACAGAGTTTTCCGGACGACAACGGGCCCAGCGAGCAAGGACTGTTGGACCTCGAGGTGCAAGAGACGAGAGGAAGATCGAACAAGCCTGGTCCTGCTCACCCCTCCAATCGCGGTATGGTCCGACGACGAGATGACGACGGCTCTGCGGATGGAGAGGCGACTGGCTGGACGGACACGACGCGAAGGAGCGGTGGCCAGCGTTTCTTTTCTTTCGTTCCCTTTCTCTTCACCTTTTCGGCTCACCTTCGGCCGCGGGTGAGGATCACGGACGGTACACCACAAAAGCAGACGAATGCGAGACGGCAGAAGACGCCGTTTTGGCGCATCTTTCGGCCAAGACCCCTTTTATTCTTTTTGACTTTCCTGCACCGCCGTAACGACGCCATACCACTTTGTACGTTATTGGGCGCCACTGTACTTGAAAAGATGATTCCTCCCGTAGTTGCATGTCGCCAGGTGCACTCGTTCAACTCCAGACTCGACCAAGACACGGATGCATTGAGCCGCAAATCGCCAAGGCCTCACATGCGGATCTCCCACTAGACTAGCCACCTTGGGGGAGGGGGGGCAGAGATCTCACAGATGGATAGGTTCCTGTCACTTGCTGTAGGGTAACACGGCAGCCATTCTTTTCCCCAGGTGCCAGGCTAGGCAGGGACGGCAGCTAAACAAGCGCTAGCGCCGCCTCGAAGCTTGAATTGTGTATCTGGGCTACGTATACACGTGTAAGAGAAGCGGTAGCGAACCGGCGAGTGTGTCGAGACTACCTTACCTCGGAACAACCGCGGGAAAGGAAGAGTGACTTTGCTGAACGGTGAACCACAAGGGACCAAAGGGGCGCAAAGGGGATGTGCGTTTGGATCTGCTATGCTCGACTGCTGCGGTTACATCGCAGGCCCGCCTCTCATCAAATCTTGGCACACATGATTGCCATTCTCCTACCAGAGATTGTATTAAGAGCAGTCGAGATCACCTTCTTTTCCCCCCTTGCGTTGACAAGGTTTATTGTATGGGGGCCAACGGAAGGGGGGGAGGGGGGCCCGAATCTCCGCTGTAAGTGCCATTTTTGGGTGCAGTTACTGCGAAAACGATTGGCCTCGAGGCCTCGAGTGACCGTCGCCCGTAAGTGCGACTCACAATACCATTGGGCGAGGACGGCCAGGTCGAGACGGGGAACAGAAGAAGGCTGGCCAAGATCCCAGGCATTATCCGTCTCCGGGCGTAGAGAATGTGTGTGTGTGTGTGTTGGGCTAAGCTAAGCTGTACCGTCGATCGATCAGCAGTGTTTCGTCGCGTCCGGGCTGGGGGGTAGCTGAAACGGACAATGCGTGGGTGCTGGGATTGACGTTGGAGGCGGCAGGGGTGTAGGGGGTTTACCTCTTAGTGCACCTCAGTAAAAGAGTGGAGGAGAAAGAGTGCCAAAACATGCCGTTTGAGCCGCATCTGAAGCAACGCGCTAGCGGGTACGGTGCAGTAGAGACAGATTGGAATCGTGGTTACTGGGGGCGCATGTTTTTTTGGTCCCGTACACACCAGAGTCGTAATTCGTGCGGCATGTCGTTGCCGCGAAGGCGCCCATTTGCCGTGGGATTTTCCCATCTGCCCCCTCTGCTGCTGCAACCGTCGTCAGCAGCGCAGGCCGGGGGGCTGGTCCCGTTTGGAAAAACAACAGGAGAAAATGTCCGTGATGTGTTTCTCTCTCAACCACTGGCGCGCCCAAAAGTCACAATTACCGCCCACTTCCCGCCAAGGCCACGTCAGGCCCTCGGTGATAGCGTGTATCGAACTTCAGAAAAAAAAGTGTCAATGTCAAGTTTGGTTACGAACGGGGGGGGGGGATCGTCTGTTACACATGATCTGGACCTGGTTCGAACGGCAGCTGTCTGCCGCGCGAATGTACCATTCAACGTCGGTCAGAAGAGAGCGAGCGAGAGAGAAGAACAACGCGCCGCTTAGGTCCCGATGTCCGATATTGGCAAAGAAAGTGCTTCGAGGGTTCACCCAGGTTCGGTGAGCCGCGCGCAAGCAATGTGAGCGAACAAGCACCCAATTTTGGGTTTGCATTCTGCCACTGTTAATGTAGCCCATGGGTGTTAATTGGTGGTGCATGGCCCGCCGAACCGCTGAACATAGAAGGCACAGCGAGAAAGACACAGAAAGAACCGGAGAGGCGAGTTCGCGCACCGATAAACCGAACTACGGTTGCAGCGTGTGTGGGTGGGCACAGCCGGCCAGGCACCGCGTAGCGGAGGAGGGGGTTGAGACATGCCATCTGAAGGGCGATTCGTTGGACGGGGGCGACGTCCTTCTGGGGAGGGGAGGGGGGGGAGGGGGGCTTGCTCAAGGTGCGTTTGGTATGTCGGTTTCGTGCGAGTGCCCTTCTGAAGAGAGAGGAGGGGGTACACTCACACTTCGACACGCTCACACTCACGCGCACACGCACTTACATGGAGATGGGATGAATTCGACGGACGGTTGAGACCCGGTGTGGGTGGTCTGGTCCGCGTGGGGTGTGGTATGAACCTTTGGTATAAGACTTGGCCGTGTCTGCCCTCATCCCTCCTCTGTTCTTGTTGGTTCAGCGGCCTGCGGTCATCTCATCATCTCTTCAATTCTCAGTAACTGTCTTTCTTTACTGCGGCCGGCCCGCCTTTTATATATATAACCTCACAAAACAAAACATCTCCACCTCTCCTCCCACCACCAAACCCACAGCCGTCAACATGCAGCTCTCTCTCCTCCTCGTCTCCCTCCTGGGCGCCACGGCCCTCGCCAAGGACCACCAAGGCGGCGGCAAGAACTCGACCCAGGCGCAGTGCAAGCGGTTCCTCAAGGGCGAGAAGCTGGTCCAGATCGCGGCCAACGACACCCTCCTGGCCGAGATCACCCAGAACAACGCCACCAAGATCGAGAAGATCAAGGCCAAGGCCGCCGAGGTCCAGCCCAAGCTCGACGAGGCCAAGAAGAACACGACCCTCATGGCGACGTGCGACCAGGTCCGCGCCGTGCAGCAGGAGAACGGACAGTGCGGCTTCATGAAGCGCATGGACAAGCTGCAGAAGCTGGTCGCCAACGACACCGCCCTCGCCGCCATCACCAAGAACAACCAGACCAAGGCCGACAAGATCAAGGCCAAGGTCCAGCAGGGCATGACCAAGCTCGCCGACATGCAGAAGAACACCACCCTCCTCCAGTACTGCTCCGCCAGGACCACCCAGGGAGAGTGCAAGCAGATGAAGCAGCTCAAGTAAGTTATTCCCGTGTAAGATGACAGTTGATACGAACGGCCGCTAACAACCCGAACAGCAAGCTCGTTGCTCTTTCCAAGAACGACACCGCCCTCAACGACAAGTTCAAGGGCAACACCACCAAGATCGAGAAGTTCAAGGCCAAGGCTGCCAAGAAGGAGGCCAAGCTCAACGAGATGATGAACAACTCCACCCTCATGGGCATTTGCCAGCAGCAGAAGAACGGCAACAATGGCAACAAGGGCGGCTCCACGAGCAACAACGGCATCGACTCCGGCGCCGCTGGCGTCCGTACCGTCGGTGCCCTCAGCTTGGCCGCTGTTGTCTCCGTTGTCATCGGCTTGGTGATGTAAGCTGGTGGCGGTGGTCTAGGACACAAACCCAAGAGCCCTCGCATTCACTTGCCGGGGTTTTTCATCTAGTAGTGGGTGAGAGGTTGTATACAGAGATGTGAGCCGAAGACGTCGGTCTCGAGTAAACAACAAACCGGGGGGAGGCCGATCGCCGTTCGCTACGACGACGTTGGTGTGTATGCGCGCGCGTCTTGTACAAAACCGCAAGTCAATTAGTTGGTGGATACATTTTAGTGTCTCACTCATTCGGAAGGCTCGACGTGGACCTGACGGTGGCAGTCCATCGTTGAAAGGGCTCCAAGCTATGATATATTCATATGTAATGAGTGGTTCGAAGTAATGTGTTGGTAGAGCAAAGAGAAAAATTGGAATGTTACAGTCGTTACCAGTCCTGGTTTGTGATGATCCTGATGTCTATGCCCGGGCTCCTCTGCCCAATGTCCAATAACACCAAATGCCCCTGTCGGTACCTGGAAAATGACACCCGTGTTCCTCCCGAGTCCGTGTTCTGTAGTCTTTGCACGGCCGGAAAAGTCTGTGGGAATGAAGTAGGATTGTATGTGTCCGTGGCGGCAAGCATCGTGCCTCGGGGCTAAGGGGAAGTGCGCACTCTAAGAAATCCTTCCCCAAAGTCAGTTCCGAAAACGCCGGCGCGGCACATAAAGACTCACAAACCGTCGAAGAGAAAATAAAAGAAATTAAAGCGCAAAACATTCTTCCTCGATAATTCCAAAGAGTAGACCCCATTTTCATGCAATTTGTTGAGGTGCGGTTCTCTCGTGGTTCTTTGGAAGAACCTGCTGCCTTCGTAAGCATAAAATCTCCCTCAGGATGCCGCTCAAAACTTACCATTGATTAAATCTCATAATATTCATATGGATTGATGGCTTTTGTTGAAGGTAATGTGGTCGTCAGCTTCGAGGCATTCGAGGCATGCTCAAGCAGGCGGGTTGGTTCAATCGTCCCACTCCCGAGAGCCGTTGAAGAGGCCGTTCCAGACGGTCGTACCACGGGTGGCAGTAGCAAGCGAGTGACGCAGGGCCCCGTCAAATTCCATCCGCTGGGTTGGAGTGAACCTCTCAATTGGCGTCCAGAGCGTAGGGCGCCATACTTTGGGTCGACGGACAGGCCCCGGCCGGATCAGATTCCGGACAGGGGATGTAGCGGAGCGTCTATCAATTGAGCGTGCGCGAGGCGGTGGTGGCATTTCCCTGGCGTCGTCGTTTTTCAGGGGGCACGGGCTGAGAGGCGTCGAGCGTCGGAAGCGAAGCAGGGAACCCTTTTCGGAGGGAGAGTTGTGGATGGACGGCTTGTAGATGCTGTGCTCGGAGTCCTGGTCGCTGTCATCGCTGGAGGTGTCGCTGTCGATGACCATAACAACCGTCTTTCCAACGTCTTCGGTAGTGCTCTGCGGATTGTCAACATCGGGGTCGCTGAGGACGTTATCAGCGTCGCCGTCGCTGAGCACATCGAGGGTGGCACTGCCGCCATTCTCTTCGTCTTCCTGGCAATGATCGCTGAGGAACTTGTCAACATCGTCGTCACTAACGGCGTCAAGGGTAGCACTGTCTCCGTTCTCGTCGTCTGCCTGGTGAGGGTCGCCAACGCCCAGAGTCATGGCATCCTTGCCCAATTCATCTTCGGTTTCAATGAAAGAATCCTCCCTGGTGACTTTCGATTCGACTGTAGTAGCGTGCTGTGCCTGAACGAAGGCATTCGGCGTCGGAGCTTGTGAGCGATCTCGAATAAATCGGTTGAAGGCGGCCTCCCCACGAATTTCGGGGTTACTCGCCGTAAACGAGTATTCCGCGATGGTAGGGCTGGGTTCCCAGTCGAAGTTGTCCACGTCATGTGGCTGCCGAAGTCTGTTGCATTGAAGAGCAGAGTTCGAAATTTCGCCTAGTGAACGCGCCAGTGTCATCGACATGGCTTCCGGTGAGGTGTCAATCATCATAGGCTCGGATTCATTCTCACCAGCCGAGGAGATAAATCTCGGTCTTGTCAATCGTGGAAATTCCCCCATCGGAGACAAAGAAGGGGGCCTGCTCTTCATTGCGGCAGCAAGTCTGTCTTGGGAAGGCGACGTAGACTCCATTCCGACACCTGAATCCTCGTCTTCCTCCGGCCCAGTGTCTTCGACGATGCGGATCTCGCCAATCTTGTTGTCGTGTGTGAGAATTGGGCCGACAAACTTGAGAGGGGCTTCGCCAGAGCTGAGATTATATTCGTTGAGGGCAACCTTGATTGCTTCGATGAAGCGACCATAAGCTCTCATGTAGTCGGGGGGCATGGAGCTTGATCGGCGAGAGTTCGAAATTTCGGCGGATACCCGTTCGACTGGTCCAAGATTGTGTCGCATTCTTTCTCCGATGTTTTTGTGTAGAGTGGTACCTTGAGATCTGTGTGAATGGTAAGGTTCGATGGTTGACTCTGAAGGGTTGAGGTATCTGGGTTGGAAGGGGGGAAGGTGGGAAGGTGAGGTAGGTTCTCGACAAAACGGAGAAAGAAGGAGAAAACGGCAATTGTGGATTCTGAAAACTCACCTGCGAAATTATTTGCGCGCAGTGAGATGAGTTATGGAAAGTGTATCTGTCGAGGAAATTCTTGCCTTTTTCAGTGGCTACGCAAACCAAGTCGGGAAGGAAGGCACTTGGAACAAGTCAACTTTGGTGCCTTCCTCAAGCTGCCGAGTGTGCGTTCAGAACTGAGCAATTTGAAGTGAATTGAGTGAGCAAGTTAAAATTTCGATACATAGTGCGATTTACTGGCGATTTGGGTAGGTTCTGGCGATGGATGGTAATCACTGGGAAGGAACATCACGGTGGTTCGACGACTTCGCGTGTGTATATTAATAACACTCACTGCCTGGCAGCTGGGTCCGGGTTTGCAATTCTCAAAGAACGCTTCTGCTGAGAGCAATAGTCTAGCTGGCGCATCCATGCAGGGGCTGATGACCACCTAGACTGAGTCCAGATCTTCAGCACACGGGCTTCGGCCGCATGGCCACACCCCTGGTCCAGCAACGATTGAATTAACTCTCTATTGTCGGTTTCTCTGTCCTCAGAGAGCGTCGTCTCAGGAGATACCTGTTGGTCAACGCCTGGCAATGACCGAATTAGAACTTCTATGCAGTGACCAATACATGACCCTTCATCGCTGACACTACTTTTTGTGAACCATCTTACAAGTTGTCGCTGGCCGTCAACAACCAGAAACCATACCGACCAGCTCGTAGTCTAGATACCAAAAGACGCGCTCAAAATCACGGCAGTCATTATGCCCGTTCGAGGGTTCAATCTTTCTCAATAAAACCAAAGTTGCTGGAAATCGCCTTGGCTGCTGGTTTGCTGCTTGAGCCTTCAACCTTTATCGTCGGTACCCTCAGGCACCCTCCTTTTGGGACTGGGATCAAGATGCTGCCGTCCTTCTCTTCAAAGTAAGCCAGCCTGGTGTCTTTAGCGTTCATAATGTCCTCTGCAGAAGTATGCTTGGGGTGCCAAAGCCAGTCGACCACCTTGATACCCAACTTTTGATTCTCTTCGATAGCTTCCTTCTCATCAAGCTCACCGCGTTTATGCTGAGACCCGGACTTTTGGCGCTCAAAGTATGTTTGAATCCATCTCTCGACGTCCGCGGGTCGTTTCACGCTCTCCACGTTCTCGAGAATCAGCCTCATTGACTTCTTGCGCTCGCGGTCCGCAAACGCCATGGACCACAGCGAGCCCAAGACTCGCTGGCGAAGTACAATATCGTCCGCGCTCCACGTAGACCAGTCGATCTGACTATCACGCTTGGCAAGTTTCGGCGCATGGCAAAGCATCTCCTGCTCTTCTTCGGTCGGCTTCCAGCCTACGTCCTTTAGAGGCGGTACATGCAAGCCTCGTCGAAGGCCGTCTACGAGCATGTCGGCGGCTATCGGGGTGAGGATGTCGTGCAGGCCTTGCAAAGTGCAGTATTTCGGGATGGGAATGCCTGGGAGCTGGGTCTGAGATAGAACGGTACCGTGATCGAAAGTCTTGTGATGAAGAGTCTGGAGGGTGACACCGGTGTGTGTACATCGTTGGAGAAGAGTGTGGTGGAGAGGTGCCGGGCCTCGGAAACTGGCGATCGTCAGCGGCAGCGGTGTTGGAGAAGATGCGGTAATATTCACGCTGGGAGTGCTGATGGATGCACATTGAGTCCTCCGTACTTGGCGGAGTTAAGTAGCCTTGGGGGAACGAAGAGACCGAAAGAGACGGCGATGATGAGGTTGATGTCGTTATGAGGCTGGCATGGTTAGCGATGGTAAATCGCTGGTCAAGTCTGGAACCGCAATACCTCCCACCCAGTGAATGTGTCTCTAACATGAATTGGCAGTCTGAGTTGCTCGGCAAGGGATTTCAATGGCACTTCGAGAATAGTTAGCGCCAGCTGCTCAACCTGTCGCGCTGAAGGAAAACGCTCACCCTCACGGATTTGCTTCATCCCACGCCCAGTCAACTTGCCAGGCCTGACCACGACATCCAGCGACTCAATCAACCCCGGGTTGCACTTCTTCTCCGCAGCCAGCGCATTCAATGCAGCGCAGCTAAACTCATCGGAGCCGCAGAACAGGATCCGGAGCGGGTCCGATTTCCTGTGTGCTACCACGGCCGAGTAATGTCGGCACGCCGGTCGGCGGAGGAGGCCGGAGGCCCGGGCGATGGCGGCTGAGCGAACAGCCAGCCACATCGTCATCTTGAAACAAATGTTATCTGAGTGATGACATAGCCTCGCGGAAAGACGATTGACGCACGATTTGATCGTGATTGATGCCGGTGGAATCGTGCAGCGGCGCCTGAACACTGTGAACACTGAAGTCACGTTAGTGATTAAGTGGGACGTCGCTTATATTGAAACCCCGATACGTCAATTCTCGAGGACCAGATACATGGCTATTGCGATATTTATGCAACTAAAAGTGCTACTCGGGATATGTCCAGGCGACATCACCCATGAATGTAGGTAGATAGCAAAGCTTTCATTTTCCTGATATCGTATGAGATGAATTTCTCGAGTGTTTTTTTCAAAATGGTCAGAAGCCCCAAAATTTGACCATATCTATGTGGGGGCCTTCTTTGGGCTCTTCTCCCCTTAGGCTTACAGGGGAGTAGATACTCCAGACTCAACCAAGATTGAGCCGCACATACGGCATGTTTGGATGTATCCCATAAAGAGTCAAACTTCAATCTGAGACTTAGCAATGTTCAGTCGCGGCAGAAATAAATCATATCCTGAAATGTTCTCTCAAAAGACTCCACATCTTGATGGGGAGCCAGAGCAAGAGGGGTGACCTTAGAAAGGAAAAGGCGATCTTAAGTAAGAAAAAGATGGCGTGTATGTAATCGTATCTCCCATCCGTCATGCAGACTGATTCTTTCCCAAATTGAAACGCCCCTCGTTTGTGATCATCGACCCAACTCGAATGAAAATGCTTCCTAACGGCGATGTTAAGAAGCTATCCATCGCCTACCAGACGGTGTTTGACTTTTGACTGGTCTCCAAGTTGTATTGTCGAATCATTGAATTAGAAGGTGAGTGATATCACCATCTACATAGCACAATTTCGACTCTTTTACATTTTCCGAACACGTGTCTATGCTGCACATAGACGAATGTCATGCAAGTGCGCTGATTCAATTGGTGAGGTCGGCAAACTTTACTGTGTATGCTTCTATGTTGTCGCCTGTTAGCAGTGGAAAGCTTGCTCGGTGAACGAGAAGACTTACACGTGGTTGTCCAATGATGGCCCTATTGGCATCGAGTTGGATCGTCGCAAACCCCGGAGATTGCACCGGAATGGCAACGCTCGAAGCCGCGGTAGATCGTTGCTGCCGATGACCACCACCTCTCGCCCACCGATTTGGTTCTCGCCGGGGAATAGGACTACCATTGGTTCGCCTGACAGGTGGCAGCAGAGGAGGAGCTGCCGCCGCTGCCGCTGGAACCAGAAAACCTTGAGCTCTACCAGACGTCATTCTGCAGTGACACTTCTCTAGTGCTTGCCGTGGTCGATTGGGCCTGTAAACGTTTCAAAGTACGTAGTTTCCAAGGTTTGTCGTCGGTGGAACGCCCTGTGGCGGCGAAGCGGCTCTCCTCGAGGGCATGCGTCTGGCCGGAGTGGGCTCTATGGCTCCTGTCATCCGAGATTCATCTACAACCTAGCATTTCCCCAGTGAGTCCGGCATCCTGCTGAGTTTCTTTTAAGGGTGACTCACGACAGTCCCCATGACACGGTCCCAATCAGACCTGCAGACCCTTAGATCCTGCCACCGCTTCGACATGAAAGCTTATCCATCCGGCTCCAAGGAGAGCCTCCCAAAGCTATAGTCGGCTGGGATGGGATCGATTCGCGAGATAATGCCGATACTCTTATCAATTATCGCCACGACGCAGCTTGAAGTGGAGGAAGATGGAGGGCCTCTATTCTCTATGACCGCGTGCTGATGAATAAATAGCACCCCGCAGTTGCATCAGCTTTTCGTTAGTCCATCCGAGGCCTTCACTCGCACTATGTGGCTCTCTAAGAATGTCCACGATAGTGCTGCAAGTTGCATCTATGTGTAAGTTGACCCCTGCCAATGAGCGTGGTTTCGATGCCGCCATGCCGGCAGACAGTCACCTCGTTGATGCGTTTGGACATCTCCGCTACAGAAAGGACCCATGATGGGTCTTTTCAGTGACTCTATTCGAAGTATAGCGGGCCACATGAGATGATCATAGATACAGAGTCCGACGAGGCATCGTGGCAAACCACTCGCGTAACCAATGGTTGAGTGGATGATACTTGGATAGGGAGGTTGCCTTACATACCCACAACAGCGCGTAGACTCTAAGAATTGAGACTCTGAGGTAAATGAACTTCTTGTTGGTCGTTCCTTGAAGCACACAATCGAGGAGGACTTTAGGTATGTCAAGGCGTCTTCATGCACAGCACAACGTGTTAGCTTGGTCTGATGAGTCTATGGATGGATTAAAATCCACGTAAAATGCATTAGCGTCTTCTGCTTACGCACCATTAGGTTTGCGATGTTCAATTAGCACGACTCACGACTACAACAGACGCACCAGACAGGATCCTTTACGGCAATGAAGCTTCAACCTTTCAGATTCTTCATGAAGTCCAAGCCCATCTGCGCAACCTCGAAATCGTTGAAAGAAAGCTAAACAAGCTACAACGCAAGTGAACCAGCACTCATATTCACAGAGAGACCATCATCAGCCCCAAAACAATTTTGGTATCCAATTCCAACTATTCAAGCGCTTCCAGATTCTCAATTCTCCACATCATCAAGAACTCCTTGTGATTCAATCATTCAAGCCTAAGAAACAAAGTTTACTCCTCCAGTAATGTCAGCACAACCGTGGGTGTCATGCCATTGGCCGCTACATCGCGAACACATTCCTTGACCACACTTCTGACAACCAACCTGCTTTCTCACACCGTGAATGTAGTAGTCGCAGATGTTTTTGCATGTCCGCGATGGACAAGAAAGCTCCCGTTTGAACCAAAGGGCTTTGAACGTCATTTGACTCGCCGGATCCAGTACCCTAGCTGCGTGACTGAAAGATAGAAAACCGCTGCGTGGGCAGCACGTTGGGTCCGTACGAGGGGTCGCAATGGCAGCCAAAAATATGAGCCTGATGCAGCCGTCGCACAACCAGTGGCCGCAAGCACTGTTGAGTGTTATTGAGGAGCTTGGTTCTGCACCCTGTTTGCCACAGCGATTGCATCGATGGCATTTTGACCCCTTGTGTTGACGGTTCTTCTGCTTGGCCTTAGGTTTCTCTTGTCTTTTCTCAATCTTCGACTGCAAGTTTGGTTTCGGCGGAGAGGGAGGTTTCGTCTTCGTGTCCTTATTCATTCGAGGCATACCTCTATTATGTGATGAGTTCTTCGTTCTGTCTTGCTGCGTCTTAGTTTCCATAGTCCTAGCAAGTTGATTGAGCTTTCTAGACTTGGAAGTGGGCTTGAGAGAGACTTGGTCATTTGCAGGGCGCTTCTCATGCGAAACGAGGGTTGGCACATCTCGAACGCTACTCGACTGTGTCTTGCCGAAGCTGTTTGGTTGGTTCAAAGCCAGGTGTATAACCAGCGTCAAAACCAAGTGAAGCTCGGCCTCCGTCAGCTCCTGCTTTAGCTCCATCCTTTTGGCTTTCCCGTAAACTGCCCAGCGGAATTGTTTATCCTCATATTTTGCCAGCAAGGTTCTGATTTCGGAAATAATTTGGCGAGCGTGTTTTGATGCTGCCTCAGCTTCCTTCTGCCCCGGAGAAACTGAGGTCATCCCCTTCTTGGTAACCTCATACGGCTTCAGGATTTCGCGCAAGCGTTTCAGGTTGTTCTGCTCCTTGGCGATGTCGGCTTTTGCCCCGCGGCAATCGCTGTAGAGGGTTATGATGGTTTTGGCCGAAGAAAAGACTTGACCGACAATACCAAGCACCATTGAGGGGTCGGCCATGGTGGCTTTTGGTGGTGAAAACCACCGGCGCGACTCCAATGCTCGACAGAGATGCGTCTCTTCGGGAGGAGAGAGGTTTTTGCAGCAGGGGGCACGATATTATTCATTGCTTGAGAGAGAGGAAAGCAAGTGGTGCTGATGAACTTGAGCAGCGGCGCAGCAGCACATGTGAGTCACCCAGCCAAACAACCAATCAACCCGCCATCTTAGGCGCCGAAGCCACTGGACTTCTACCAATGAAAAGATTCTTGCTTTCAAGTATCAGCCTTACCGGCACCCTTTGGAGCCAAGAAAACAGCGAAACATGTGATAAATGCTGCCGTCTTTTGGGCCAAGGATTGCTCAGGCATGGTACTCAGGCGAATGTGAGGAACAGTGGTTATCATTGAAGATTGCCCAAGGGACTATCATCAGCCTGTCATTGAAATCCTTCAGCAAGCGAATGCCCTGTGAGCACTCTTTCAAAGAACGGACTTTGCAAAGAAACTAAGGATGAGCACTGACATTCAACATCTTACGATAGCCGATGTTGGAATGTATATGTAGCTCAGATCAGGTGTGTCAATTATCACCGCATCGGCTAACTTCGCGATGTGGCATCCATCCGAAGATAGTATTCCAGTGCGGGGTTAGTGCATTGTCATTGAAAAGCATTGATCTGAGGAAGGTTGACGATCCTCTTAGATAATTTCGTCAAGATTTAGAAAACAGCCCAGTCGCAAGCAACAAGCCACCTCGTGCCTTCAAGCACAATCTCCCAAGCAGGTTGCGAGATTGAGACGCAACTCCCGACAAGCAGAGGCGCCTTCTGCCCTAGCCCGGTGAGCCTCCCCTCCCCAGCCAACATCAACCTGGCCGCAATCTCCTCTCTCATTTCTCCATCGTCGACAATCCTGCGCCCTTTGATAAGATACATCCTGTTTCCAGGCGAGATAACGTCAATGATAATCCTCATGACCAGGTCAGCGGGCCGGTCACCACCGCCCCAGCCTTTTACCTCTGCCAGCCAGGACTGCAGTTCAGCAGCGAGTCCGCCGGCGATGTACTTCGGGCCTCGGCGTTGCGGTGAGAAGGCTTCTGGCAGACCTTCTTGTCGCGGTCCTTCGGTTTCTGCGATCTTGAACCGCGGGGCCTGGTGGAACTTCGGCTGCGTCTTGGCGGTTTCTCCGTCGTTTAGTTCAGGTAGACCGGGGTCTTCGTCCATCAGGACGTCCTCAGCGTCAACCAGCATGCGGT